GGATATGCTCGCCGTTGGCAGATAGCAACTCGGAAGAAGGGGCTGCTCAGTGCATTGTCTTCGCCGATTCTCAAGAAGAGGTGAGGCTTTCAACGTGTTGAGATGCTTCATCTGTGCTAAGGTGAATATATGCCATGCGGCTGTCCATTTACTATCGAATGTCAGAATCTTTGTTACTTTTGTGTAGGTGCGCTACATCAAGAATCACCCCTTGCTAGACTCTTGGCGCATCGCTTCAGTACATTCGCGCATGGATGAACAGGATCGAGAGCGAGCTATACAGAGTTTCATAGAGGGAGATGTAAGTCCTCCACGTGACAGGAGGTCACTTGGCTTTGTGTATGAAGGCTTTTTTCGCACGGTGGTGTCGTGTGCCAAAACAGTGACTGCGAACACATTTTATGCAGGATAATTGGTAAACGAAATAGGTGTCAATCGAGATTGTGGCTTTGCAGGCATCAGTGCTTGTCAGCACCGATATAGCGGCTAGAGGCTTTGACATCCCCTCTGTTGTCCTCGTTGTCCACTTGCACCCACCAAGCACTCCAGAAAACTACACACACAGGTAAGGCACACGTGTTGCCGTAGTTGAAAGTGGCACGGGTGAGTTCATGCGCAATGCATTGGACTTGTGTCCACTCTCTATGGAAGATCTCCTGCGCGTTCTTCTTGTGTTGCAGAACAGGCCGCGCAGGGAGGGGCAGAACCCCAGGGACATCAGTTGTGCTCTGTAGCAGCGTGGAACTCCGCAAACTTCGAGAAGTCGAGCGTCTTGGGCGTGTGCACTTTGAGCGACGAACACTGCCAGCAGCGGCCAGCTGTCATGAGCTCACCCTTAGACAATTAACGGGTGAGCCGATAGCAATGACGGGGAGCATCCGCTGCCGATACAAAGCTCCAATGTGTGGTGCCTTGAGCAGGTAAATCCCCGTCATGCGGCTTTGTTTCTTTCAGCAGATATGTTGAATGTCCCCTACTCACAGTATGCCTCGCTTTTAGACGTGGCACAGCGCCTTCAGGAAAAAATGGGGGCCCAGGCGCTCGCAACGGTTTTGCTCAAACTGGGAGGGTCCACTGCACATAGTGCGCTCGGTGTACTGAGTTCCGATGCCCGATCCGTTCTCTCCGGAAGACAAGGTTTTGTGCCTCTTCTTCTGTACGACCCAACTCATGTGGTAAGCGGCTCAGCCAGAAAGTAATGTAGTACTAACCTGGTGCTCGCCCTCCCTCCTTCATTCCTTCAATCCTGCTTGTGTGCGCCGTCGTTGAACTCAGCGCCTTCAGGGTTTAATGGCTGCGCGCCGGCTCCTTCAGAGCCTGCTGCCCCGAGGTGCAACTCCAGAGGTCAGTCTGCGTAGCGCTTACGATGCACCTGTCTTCTTCACTAACTTCTAGTGATATCCCTCATTGCTGCATATGCCAGCTTGTGACTCAATACAGGCGGTGGGAAGGATTGTCAGGAGTGTCAATGGCTTTGTTGCCGACGTCTCAGCGACATACGCGGATCATATCGTGCAGATGGGGAAGACCAGGGAAACAAGTTCCGGCGAATCACTGAGCAGAGACTGCAGTGCACCCGCCAGTGAGAATGGTTTCAAGGAGCCATGGGTCCCAGTATTTCACTTGGATCAACTCCCCCGCCTGCTCAGTGGTGGGATCGGGAGGCGTAGACGCGGACAACGATTGCCGTGGACGCGAATGAAGTACGTGCATTTATTCACTGTTCGACAGTTCAACGAAGTATAATGCTGCTGGCAGTACATTGCCATCGCCAGCATTTTCACGGGTTAACTTTCTCTGCGTCTGGTGGACTGCTCTGCTGCGTGCTTTCCAGACTGTCTCTTGCACGGTCAAGAACAGAGTCGCGTCAGCAAGCTGCGCAGAAACGTCGAGTGTTCAAAAGTGACTCTTTGCAGCTTCAAGGACTCAAAAGTATGAATGTTGGGAGTGCTAAACTCTCGTGAGTGTGTGGCTCTCCCTGGTGACTCCTTCAGTTCGTTGCACAGAAACGACAGCACGGCGGGCCTGATTCCGTGTACTCCAAGCTCCCACGCTGTCAGCTTCCACGCTGTAGGCGTATAAGCGCCAAGACAGGCGTCGAATCAATTGAACAAATGGGTCCAGGCCAAAATGCGCAATCACCAGCTGAATGTGTAGTGATTTTTTGGCCGTGGCAACCCGCATTTCGTAGTGACATAATTTTGTACGGCTTCTCGCAACGAGTCCGGGGGTCAAGGATTCATTGCACTCCCAGCAAGACGCAAAATATAAGCATGCAGTATGTATTAGTCACTATGAACCG